GAGCTATTTGAAGTGATTATCTTATATTTCAAATTAGTCTAATAACTTCCTTTCACCTTAACAAACCAAATATGGGAATTAATGTGTATTAACATCATTTTACTCCCATATTAATAATAGTAATAATAATCATAATACTCATAATAATGATGATGACGATGCTGATGATGATGACGACGACGACGAAGACGGCGACGAGGAGGATGAGAAGGAGCGGAAACAGAAGAAGACGAAGAAGAAGAAGCAGAAGTCGAAGAAAAAGAAGAAGATGAAGAAGCAGAAGAAGCATCAGCAGAGGAGGAGGGGGAGGAGTAGGAGGAGCAGGAGCAGAAGCAGAAGAAGGATAAGGAGGAGGAGGAGGAGGAGGAGGAGGAGAAGAAGAAGAAGAAGAAGAAGAAGAAGAAGAAGTGACAAATCATGTCTGAATTTTTTTTTATCTAATGTGAATGTTTCTAGTCTGATCTGAATGTTTTTTATATGATCTGAATGTTTTTTATATGATCTAAATGTTTTTAATCTTGTAACATTCTCACTCGTGCGCGCCCTAAGAAACTTCCCCGAGGGTCACTCATCCCAAGACTACTCCCGTACAAGCACGCTTAACTTTGGAGTTCTTGGTGATGAGCTCCCTTAAAGGAGATGCATCTTGTTGGTATGAGTAGTACTATTAATCCATTTATATTAAATCTCAAGTATTACAAATCTAATCTTAATGTTTCTGATCTGGTCTAATCTGATCTGAATAAAATAAGAATAAGCAATAAGTAATAAGACGAACAAAACGGGTTCTTAATTCTGCGTTTAACATAAATGGTCAATATTGCCCCTAAAATGGGCGGGATTTGCAACAAAAAAGGTCACCAACCTTGTTCCTATATATTATTATAGATAGATAGATAGATATTTTATTATGAATGAATTCTATTACATTTTAAATCCATGTATAAGTTTAAAAATTTTCAAACAATTCATAGACTTTTAAATCTGAAACGTTACTGCCGGTCATCAGAAGTTTAACCTAGATTGGTATGAAATCATTGAACCTTATGTATACACTCACCACAATTCAATATGAGTTATATTTGTTGGTGAAGTTTGACATCCAAATATTGTGCAATTTTTTAAAGTTGTTACTCAGAAAAAACCCTTGATGTTAACTATTGAATATCTAATGGCGATGCATAGTTTACATTTTTTCCTTCTGCCTGGGGTAAAATCGGAGGCGGAGCTAGGGGAGGGAAACCCCTACCCTGACCCAATCCAAATTTTAAAAATGTCTAATTTTTTAGTGTAAAAAATTTCGAGTAAAATGTTGTCCAAAAATATTCTTTGCATCGGTCCAGTCCAACCTAGTGCCCTGGCTCCGCCCCTGGGTAAAATGTTCACTTATTCCCACAATGGCAATATTTTCTTACATGATGTGTTATCACGGGTTGATCTTCATCAGTATATATGTGAAGTAAAAATGTGCACTTAGTCCTTCGACAACCAACAATTTGAACATGGACATATTCGTGAGTGAGCCAAATGTTATTGTTCTTTGGGATTTAAAACCAATGTAATTAAGTTGATAATTTACTCCACTTTATGAATGGATTAGCAAGACTTATTTACAACGATCTGACCATCCTCTCAAAAAACATTGAATTGTAACAAAATAAAAGAAAAAGGCTTACTTGGGATGTCATTGGATAGTTTATCAGTACTTATGGATCATTGTAGGAAAATAAAATAAATGTTGCATACTACAAAAATGAGCCTTCCCAAACTCCAAAATTGTCACTTTCTGCAGGGAGAATGAGAGGTTTCTTCCTTACATTTGCATAATTTTTTATTTTTATTTTTTTTTTGGGGGGGGGGGGGGATTTTACAACAAGATTCTTAATAGTAAGAAAAGGTTATAATACTTGATATAAACTACTCTTTTCAATTTGTTATTACTATTATTATTGTCTCTTTTCCTTTTTATTGTATTTGGCAGTTCTTGGGTGTCTCAACCACTTGAATTACTTTGCTTATTTGTTATTATCCATCTAATATATAGATGGTAATATGGTATAATGTACACTATGTTGTTTAAGAGGATGTAAGTGGAAGGTCATCTTTGTATTTTCACGTATGTAGGATTTTGGAGTAGAAATGTTATGCATCTTCAGTCTTGACCAAAAAAGTTGCTTATAGTGAAAATAAGGACCACAAGCTTTCTCATATTCCTCATAACATACTCAATTTCTAAACTATGTAATTTGGTTTTTGCAATGTCTCTTTGCAAATTTGACCAATACATGTAAATCTGAAGTTACTCTATGCTGGTGTGTAAACTCCATAAGTGAATTTGTTTAAACTTTTATTTATTAGATTTTATAACTCCATAATTAATATCAGAAATCATTATTTTTATTTGGCGGCCGTCTTCCTAGGGTTTCCCTAGTGGCGAGTTTCTCGGCGGTGAGTTTTCACGGTGTCTGGCAGTGTCCTTCGAAGTATGAGTGTGATAAGTTGGAATTGCAGAGGGCTATCGAATGGGGAGAAGGGGCAGGGAGTGGCGGAGTTAGTTTGGTCCCAGCGGACGGACATCTGCTTCTTAATGGAGACCAAGACCCGAAGCCAACGTTCGAAGGACATGCTGTAGAGTCTGGGCTTTATGCAATTTGTAGGCGTCGACAGCGAAGGTCTCAACGGGGGTCTTGCTCTCGGCTTGAAAGATGAGATTGAGGTAATGGTCTGTGCGTCATGCTCGAATTATGTGGACCGTGAGGTCCGGTTGACACCAGACGCTTCGGTCTGACGTTTGACGTGTTACTATGCTTTCGTGAATACTGTTCGAAGACGGGAAGCATGGAGTATGTTATGCAGTCTAGCGGAAGATAATACCCTACTGTGGATGATTATAGGAGATTTCAATGATATCCTATATGAATCCGGGAAGAGGGGGAAATTCCCCATCCAGGTTGGAGATTGAGGGGGTTTTAGAGAGGCAGTCATCAGCTGCGGCTTGCGCGGTTTTCCCTTCCAAAGCTACCAGTGGACTTGGGACTAGGGGAAGGGGAAGACTTATTAGGTTGAAAAAAATTAGATAGTATTTTTGTTAATGATGATTGGTGGATCGAATACCTTCATGGAGGCCCAAGCATCTTCGGTGGAAGCACCAACTAGTGACCATATGGTTGTTTGGGTGAATATCAAACCGACGGTTCATGGAAAGAAACCAAAGATTTTTCGTTTTGAAAATTTATTGCTTAAAGAGGATGAGTGCAGAACAGTGGTGGTTAACAGTTGGAGTGCTGGTCATGAGTTATCAATCAGCGAACATAACATGTTTTGTGGCAAAGAACCGATGCGGTGGGATAGTTGCAGACCAAAAGGATTCACGCATCATATTCAGGCGTGTAAAAAGAAACTAGCTAACCTCCAGGGACGTTCTGATCCGTGGGGTTTAGGCGAGTTTAACTGACTTAAAGTTGTTATCTAAAGTTTGATGGAGAAGAAACATGCATACTGGAAACAGAGAGCTAAGGAGTTTTTGGTAAAGGAAGGATAAATAAATTCTAAAATTTCCCACAATGCGATCAAACAGAGACGAAGACGAAATAGACTCCAAGGCTTGCGAGGAACCGACGGTGCATGGATAAAAAATTGGAAAGAGCTGGAAGAGATGGCAAAAAATTATTTTTGAATATCTTTCAGACCGACTCAAGGGAGGAAGTTGATGGAGGGTATGAACAATTTGAGCCAGGTCTCGGTTCGTCAAAATGAGCGATTGTTGGAGGCGATTAGTCTATAAGAAGTTAGAGCAACTATTTTTTATATGCATCTGGATAAAGCTCCTAGGGCGGATGGCATGAATCCGGCTTTTTCCAGAAGTTTTGGGATGTGGTAGGGGCGGATCGGAAGTTGTTCGGCTGTGTATATGTATTTTTAATTCTGCTTCGCTGCCTCAGGAATTAAATATAACTAATATTGTTTTAATTCCTAAAAAAGAGAAGCCAGAGTCTATGGGAGACTGGAGGCCTAATGCTTTATGCAATGTCGTATACAAAAAATTTTCAAAGGTTATAGCGAACAAGTTAAAAGATATTTTGGGGACCTTGATTGGAGAGAACAAGAGCATGGATGGCTATGAAACTGGATATGAGCAAAGCATATGATAGAGTCAGTTGGGATTTTTTAAAAAATATTATGTTTCGAATGGGTTTTAATCCCAGCTGGATAGATATCATTATGATGTGTGTAACCACTGGTAGTTATTACATCCAATTTGATAATGAATTTCTTGGTCCTATTGTGCCGGGCAGAGGTTTGAGGCAAGGAGATCCTTTGTCCCCATATTTATTCATTCTGGTAGCAGAGGGTTTAAGTGCGATGTTACGGAGGGCTGAGCAGGTGGGGAACCTGTAACACCGTCCCCAAATATATTTACCGTTATGTAAATTATGTATTGAATATGGTGTATTGAGTAATGAATTTACGAGGTTGTAAATTTTTGTTATTTCCTTTGCGTGAATAGTAAATTCCACGTGGGGCCCACACTCGGAGCGGGGGTAACCCGATAACACGAGACCACATGTTATATTCATCTTGGTCTAGATAATAGTTACATAGTGGTGGACATTCATAATGGGCCATGATAAAGGCATTGGGTTGACCGGTTTGGCAAATAGGGCCCAATTACCGGTATTGGTAATTTAACATACAACAGCCCGAAATGAATTTCGGGGGCTTATAAATTAAAGTTGGGGAATGTATATTCATTATGAGGGTCATAATGATTGAAAACACATAATATATTTTATTTGACCAGATAAAATAAAATATAGTTAAACTAGTCCGAGAAATACAACTTTCGGGGCCGAATGTACACGTCGGGACAACATGGGATGACCTCCCACATGAGTGGGGGCCACCCCACGTTTTTATGGGCTATTGAGACAAGGGAGGGCTGCTCAATGTCATAGGGAGGTGGCTGGATGATTTAATTGGCATCAAACAAGTGTGGACCTCACTCCCACACTTATTTGCTAAGTAAGACAAGGAGGAAGGTCTCCTCACTCCCACCCCTATCACTCAGCTCGACCCAGCCCCCAAAGAGAGAGAGGAAGAGTTCTGAAAATCCTCCATCTCCATAGCCAAGAAAGCTCAAACAAGCAAGGAGCTCAAGGGAGAAGATTATAGGAGGAGAGAGCTAGGAAGAAGTGTGAAAATTAAGGTAATAACCTTATCATAACTTTTCCTTTATTTTTTCTTCTACCATATGAGTTATATATCATATGAATAACCCCTAGGATGGTTCTACATGCCCAAAGTGTAGAACAATGGGTTGAAAGATGGTTATAAGTCCAAGAACGGACTTAGAAGCCAAGGAGACCGGCTCACCGAAAAATAACCTTTTAGAGGTTATTTGTATTGATTTGGGTTTTGTGATGATAAAACCTTGTTAGGCACTTGTAAAGGGTGATTTAAGAACTTTCACGAAGTTGAAAGAGTCGCCGGAGTTGTCACCGGAGTTCATCAAAGTTCGCCGGAGTTCCATCGGAGTTCAACCGGGAAGGGTAGAACTTCACAATGCTCATTCGAGGTGAGTGGACGGCTTAATGTCTTTTAACTCTTGGGTTAAGTATGAGATTACCTAAATAAATGCTATAAGTATTCCTAATGATGTTTAAAGGAGTTTAAGCATGTGATTAGCCTAGGTAATTAGGCTTATGTGAATAAAACTTCATGATTATGCATGTGAAGAATATGAAAAATGTATAAAAACATTTGTGATGTTTTGGATGACCAAAATGGCATTATTGGTTGTTTTAGACATGATATAGGTTGTATAAAAATTTCGGGTCAAACGGGTCACGTTTCGGGGGTCAACTCGGGGGGTCAACGAGGCGTTGACCCAAAACTCCGAACATACCCGGCGCCGGGTATAGGGCCTACCCGGGGCCGGGTAAGCTACTGCCTCCACATTTTAATCTCACCGAAAACGCGAACCGAAGTCCGGTTCGAAGGAGGGGCTGACCCCGTACAACCTATGTGTGCATATTGTGCATGGAATTGCATGGAATATGATGATTTAATGTCAAGGTTGATATTTATTGATTTAATTCTAAGACTTGGTTTATTCTTTAGTAATAATATGATATAGACCCTATCTAGTGTGATATGTGGTAAGTCATAGGTCGGGTGGAGTACCCAAGGATCGGGCGGTTATCCTCAAAACTCGGTATATATGTATATATATAGGGTGGAGTACCCAAGGATCGGGCGGTTATCCTCAAAACTCGGTATATATGTATATATAGGGTGGAGTACCCAAGGATCGGGCGGTTATCCTCAAAACTCGGTATATATGTATATATATAGGGTGGAGTACCCAAGGATCGGGCGGTTATCCTCAAAACTCGGTTATAGGGTGGAGTACCCAAGGATCGGGCGTGTATCCTCAAAACTCATAGATTACATTTAATGATCTAGGACCGGGCGGTGTCCTTATGATAATTTACTTGAACAAGGAGGAGTTCTATACACTCATAGGTATATGGGTGGGTTGGGATTTAAGTCAAGGACATTGGCTTCTATTATTTTCCCAAATAAACAATGACCTACGGGTCGGGTATTTCCAAGTGTATATATACTAATATGTATTTCAAAACTTGGGGGAAGGACTATACGTATATGTATCACCCTATGTTTGGGTCTTATACTTGAAACGTTAGTTATTCTACATTTAGCCTGCTACTCGCTCGGTACTTGTACTGACCCCTTCGGGGGGCCCCACCATTTCAGGTTGAAGCTCAAGTTGCTATTCTCACCTTGCTCGGTGAAGTGATCCAAAGGGAGACGTGGTTCGTGCTTCCTTTAATGTTTTAAACTACAAACTTGCTCATGGATATTTTTGTAATAAATACATTTGTTTTGGGCCTGCGTGCCTACGTTTTGGCCATGTGTGGCCCATGATTGAATATTGAATATTTCCGCTATTCGTTCAATCCTATGGTGTGATGTTGTTATGTATGTTTACTTACTGAGTATGGTATGGACTATGTTCATGGACGCCTTGTTTGACTAAGTCACGTTGACTCGCGGGTGACGTCATTTAGTCATACGGCGGTTGTACACGCGCTCAGATGCGGTCTGGGGCGTGACAATTAAGTGGTATCAGAGCCATCTCAGTTTCTAAACTATGTGATCAACCTCTCACAAGAGATTTTACAAAAGAATTTTACCGAAAACCATGAGCATTGTATTTTGACGCTTATAGAACTATTGTTACCTAAGTTGCAAGGTCTCTGGTTGTTAAGATGGTACCCTTAACAATTGGTATGGCGGTGACTCGGGCCAATACGTGTCTATAACGTTTTCCGTCAATTGACATTGATTGGAGTCTAACGACTCGTCCAAATTCCTTTTCAGAAATGGAGGGTAGACGCATGCAGACCAGAAACAATCCGGGAGGGCAAGCACTGATAGCTTCTGTTGAAGCTAGCCGGGCTGCATCTCGAAGCTCTAGAGGTGGAAGAGGAGGCTGTGGAGGCCGTGGAGGTCGTGGGGGCCACCGAGCCCAAACAGTGAGTGATGGCCACGTGAGTTCGGTGTACGAGACTAACACCGAGGACTACGACTCTACTTATGTTCCCGAAACGCAGCATGAGGAGACCCCATATGATGGGGGCGATTTCCACACCGATGATGAAAATGATGATGAGAGTGATGCCAGGTTTGCCCAAATGGGGGAACTTCTAGCGTGGTATCAAAAGGAGAAACAGAGGAGAGACATGAGACGCCAAGCGAGGCGTGCTTCTCAAGGTGTTTCGGCCCAAGGAAGCCGGGGAGCTTCAAGGGCCACACCGGTGGTGCCACAAGGTGGGCATGAAGGAGGTTTTGTGGTGAGAATCTCCAAATACCTCAAGGAGGCTAGGGCCTTGGGGTGTAGGTCCTTTGACGGCACCGGCGACATTACCGTTGCCGCCGATTGGATCAAGAAGGTGAAGGATGCATCGAGAGACATGCAAATTTCACCGGACGTGAAGCTAACCGTCGCTTCACGGTTGCTTGAGGGGATGGCTTCTACATGGTGGGAAGGTGTGGAAGGGAAATGCCGCGGGGACATCTCATGGGAGAATTTTGAGCGGGAATTTTATGCCCAATACTACTCCGATTTCGAGGTTAATGTGAAAAGGAGGGAGTATACCAACCTCAAGCAGAAGGAGGGTTGCACCGTTAAACAACTAGAGCAAGAGTTTAGAACCTTGGCTAGGTTCTTACCGGAGTATGCGATTGATGAGGACCGCATGACTGAGCACTTCTGGGATGCTTTACTCTTAGACATCCGAGATCGTGCTACGTACTCACGCCTCATGACTTTTAGTGAGGTGGTAGAACAAGGCATGCCGGGGGGAGGCCCAGTGGAATGAAAGGAAAGCAAGAGATGCCGAAGAGGCAAAGAAGAGGAAGTGGAATAGTTCGGGGCCGCCCGATCATTCCCGAAGGAACAACCACGGTGGTGGTGGTGGTGGCTCATTCAAGGCACCGGCTCCACCGGCAAAGAAGAATAGGGACGCGAGGTGGCACGGACCTAGGCCACAAAACCCGGGGGCACCTAGATGTCCCAATTGCTCAAAACAGCACTTTGGGAAGTGCAATGAACCACCGAGATGTTTTAAATGCGGGAATGCGGGCCATATGAAGGCCAATTGCCCTCAATTGATGCAAGAGAGCGCATCGGGAGCCGGGGGAGGGGCCATGACGGGAAGGAACCGTGCGGGACCGTCGCACGGTGGCACGGGAAGAGGCGGCGCGTCAACAAGCAATGCCGCGTCCGTTAACCAAGGCGGGGCCCAAGCGAGGGTCTACGCGATGACCGAGGCCGATGCCCGGGCTAACCCCGACTCCGTTGCAGGTAATTCCTTGTTCATACTTGTAATGTTCATATACATGTGTGTTTTAAGCTTTAGGGAGCAATTACGAGTTAACCGACGGCATTTCCGGCTCGTTTTCGGGCGAAAAACGAAGTTGGACTGCCCAGGGATGAACCGGCGCCGGTCTAGGCTTGACCCGGCGCCGGTCTGGTGTAAAATGATGAACCGCGGGCTGACAGCAGCTTACCCGGCGCCGGCCAGGGGGGCAACCCGGCGCCGGCCCGGAAAAATTTCCCGGAGGGTGCTATCCAGTAGCTTACCCGGCGCCGGCCAGGGGGGGCAACCCGGCGCCGGCCCGGGGAAAATTTTCTGATATTTCGCTCCAGGGGTGAACCGGCGCCGGTCTGGGCCATACCCGGCGCCGGCCCAGTTCATTTTTGCCACTTTTCGATTCCAGTAGCTTACCCGGCGCCGGCCAGGCCTATACCCGGCGCCGGTCCAGTGTATTTTCGTCCGAAAAATTTTCGTTTAGCCCTATTTTCGACCCGGTACGTGTGTAGTGTGTCTTACATGACTTATATATGTAGGAACCTTAAAGATCAATGGTAGAAACGCAAGAATTCTCATTGATACCGGGGCACAACGTTCATTTGTGAGTGAAGCGTTTGCCGAAAGTTTAGGCGTACCGTTGATAGCAATGACCCAACCCTTGTTGGTCTCTACACCGTTGGGAGACGATGTGGAGAGGAAACACTATTATCCATCGTGTGAGATAGAAGTAACGGGTCAACCCCTGACTTGTGACTTTGTACCTCTAAGTATGTTGGAATTCGATGCAATCCTGGGGATGGATTGGCTCGAGAAGTATCATGCTCGGGTAGATTGCTACGCCAAGGTGTTAGAGCTCGAAGATCCTGATGGAAACGCTCTACGTTTCGAGGGAGATCGGGGAGGATCTCATAGCTGTATCATATCCGTGATGAGGGCACGGAAGATGATGAAGAAGGGATGCCACGCATACCTTGCTTACGTGGTGGACGAAACAAAGAAGGAGGCTGACATCAACGATGTACGTGTCGTGTGCAAGTATCCGGATGTCTTTCTCAAAGACTTGCCGGGACTTCCACCCGATAGAGAGATCGAGTTTGTGATCGAAGTAGAGCCGGGAACAAAACCCATTTCGATTCCTCCTTATCGAATGGCACCGGCAGAGCTTCAAGAATTGAAGCTCCAATTGCAAGAGCTATTGGACAACGGCTTCATTAGACCTAGTCATTCACCGTGGGGAGCACCGGTACTCTTCGTGAAGAAGAAGGATGGTACATTGAGAATGTGCATAGACTACCGACAGTTGAACAAGGTCACAATCAAGAATAGGTATCCTTTACCGAGGATTGATGACTTGTTCGATCAACTTCGGGGGGCTATGGTGTTCTCAAAGATTGATTTGAGGTCGGGTTATCATCAGTTGAAGATCAAGGAGAGTGACATACCCAAGAGTGCATTCCGCACTAGATACGGTCACTATGAGTTTCTTGTGATGTCATTTGGGTTAACCAATGCACCGGCAGCATTCATGGACTTGATGAACCGAGTGTTTAGTGAATACTTAGATCAATTTGTGATAGTATTCATTGATGACATCTTGATATACTCCCAGAACGAGGAGGAGCATGAATACCACTTGAGACTTGTACTTGAACGACTTAGAGAAAAACAACTCTTTGCCAAGTTCTCCAAATGTGAATTTTGGCTTAAAGAGATTGGCTTTCTCGGGCATGTCATATCCGGTTCGGGCGTTGCTGTGGATAACGCCAAGATAAAAGCCATCATTGATTGGGAGAGACCCAAAATTGTGAAAGAAATACGTAGTTTCCTTGGCCTAGCGGGATACTATCGTAAGTTCGTAGAGAAATTTTCCGTGTTGGCATCTCCATTGACGAAGCTCACAAAGAAGGGGGCTAAGTTTATATGGGATGACAAATGTGAGAAAGGGTTTCTTGAACTGAAGAAACGACTCACCGAGGCACCAGTTCTTACTCTACCCAAGCAGGGGATATGGTACTGTTGAGTTTAATCCAACACGATATAGTAAATATATGTATGAACACTCAGTTTTTACGTGGAAACCCGAAAGGGAGAAAACCACGGGACTTTTTAGGCTAATGTCCAAGCCCTCTCCTTCTCATTAGGACTCTCCTCACAATTACATTGTACAAGCTCCCATTAATGGAGTATTGAGCTAAGTCTAAAAGAATGAGGGAGGTGGAGCTAAAAGAGGATCCCCAAAACATGGAGGGAAGCCTCATATTTATAGGGGAAAGGGGAAGGGTGCCCTCCACCCTAATGGGCCAAACGGGCCGATGCCGGGCCTAATGGCCAAAGTGGGCCAGAATGGGCCGAAATGGACCTAGCTGCTCGGGCTCCGTACTGGATAATGTCTTGGGCCCCTGAACAGTAATAGGCCGGGATAATATATCCCAACAGGTACGATATCTATAGCGATGCTAGCACCCAAGGACTTGGGTGTGTGTTGATGCAAAGGGGTAAGGTGATTGCCTACGCTTCAAGGCAATTGAGGAAACATGAAGTGAACTACCCTACTCACGATCTAGAGTTGGGGGCAGTGGTGTTTGCACTGAAAATTTGGAGGCATTATCTCTACGGGGAGACATGTCACATTTATACCGATCACAAGAGCTTAAAATATGTATTCACTCAGAAAGAGTTGAATATGAGACAGAGGAGATGGATGGAGTTGATCAAGGACTACGACTTGATCATCGAGTACCATCCCGGAAAGGCCAATGTAGTGGCCGATGCACTGAGCAGGAAGAGTACGTCAGGGACGTTACTCACATGTCTACAGGCATTGAGGGCACGCGTAGAGGTGTCCGCGTGTGGGACCCTCATTGCTAGATTCGAGGTTAGGCCTATGTTGCTGAGTGAGATCAGTAGATGTCAGGCCGTTGATGAGGAATGTCAGAGGATCCGTGAACGGATCCTTGAGGGACCCGTTGAGAACTTTCGTATACGTGATGATGGTCTGTTGTTATTTAAGGATCGTGTTTGCATACCAAAGGATGAAGAGCTCCAAAGGTCCATACTAGAGGAGGCTCATTCTTCGGCCTATGCCATGCATCCAGGGGGTACTAAGATGTACCGGGACTTGAAAGAAAGTTATTGGTGGTCAGGTATGAAGAGGGACATCGCAGAATACGTGAGCCGATGCCTTACTTGACAACAAGTTAAGGCGGAGCATCAGCACCCAGCGGGGCTTTTGCAACCACTTACCATTCCAGAATGGAAGTGGGAGCATGTGACCATGGACTTCGTGGTAGGGCTACCCCGGACAGTGAACAACTACGACGCCGTTTGGGTAGTGGTTGATAGGCTCACCAAGAGCGCACACTTCTTACCTATCAACATTACTTACCCTCTTGAAAGGTTGGCCAAGTTATATGTGGAAGAGGTTGTGAGATTGCATGGAGTCCCGATATCCATTGTCTCGGATAGGGATCCACGATTCACATCCAGGTTTTGGCCAAAGTTTCAAGCATCATTGGGTACTAAACTGAAGTTTAGCACAGCCTTTCACCCACAGACAGATGGACAATCTGAGCGGGTGATACAGATTTTGGAAGACATGCTTAGGGCATGTGCCTTGGAGTTCCAAGGGAGTTGGGACAAACACCTGGCTTTAGTGGAGTTTGCCTATAACAACAGTTATCAGGCAAGTATTGGCATGCCTCCGTACGAGGCACTGTACGGGAGGAAGTGTAGGACACCATTGTGTTGGGACGAGGTTGGTGAGGCCAAGCTCGAGGGAATAGAACTTGTTGAGATCACCAAGGCTAAGGTGAAAATCATTCGTGACAGACTTAAGGCTGCCCAAGATCGGCAGAAGAGCTATGCAGACAAACGGCGAAGGCCGTTAGAGTTTGAGGTCGGGGATGAAGTTTTTCTAAGAATTTCTCCTTGGAAAGGTATCATCCGATTCGTATCAAGGGGTAAGCTTAACCCCCGATACATTGGTCCGTTTGAAATCCTGGAGAGGATTGGGGCCGTAGCTTATCGTCTCAAGTTAACACCGGAACTTGAGAAGATTCATGATGTGTTTCATGTATCGATGCTCAAGAAGTATGTGCGGGACCCGTCACATATTCTTGAGAAGCCACCGGTGGAGATCCGAGAAGACTTGCAATACGCAGTAGAACCGGTAAAGATAGTGGGCCAACAGGTAAAGCAGCTTAGGAACAAGGAGATTCCTATGGTGAAGGTGCTTTGGAGGAGTGATCGAGTCGAAGAAGAAACCTGGGAGACCGAGGTCTCAATGAGGGAGCAATACCCGTTTCTTTTCGATTAGACACGTGGATTTCGGGGACGAAATCCCAAATAAGGGGGGGTGAACTTGTAACACCGTCCCCAAATATATTTACCGTTATGTAAATTATGTATTGAATATGGTGTATTGAGTAATGAATATACGAGGTTGTAAATTTTTGTTATTTCCTTTGCGTGAATAGTAAATTCCACGTGGGGCCCACACTCGGAGCGGGGGTAACCCGATAACACGAGACCACATGTTATATTCATCTTGGTCTAGATAATAGTTACATAGTGGTGGACATTCATAATGGGCCATGATAAAGGCATTGGGTTGACCGGTTTGGCAAATAGGGCCCAATTACCGGTATTGGTAATTTAACATACAACAGCCCGAAATGAATTTCGGGGGCTTATAAATTAAAGTTGGGGAATGTATATTCATTATGAGGGTCATAATGATTGAAAACACATAATATATTTTATTTGACCAGATAAAATAAAATATAGTTAAACTAGTCCGAGAAATACAACTTTCGGGGCCGAATGTACACGTCGGGACAACATGGGATGACCTCCCACATGAGTGGGGGCCACCCCACGTTTTTATGGGCTATTGAGACAAGGGAGGGCTGCTCAATGTCATAGGCAGGTGGCTGGATGATTTAATTGGCATCAAACAAGTGTGGACCTCACTCCCACACTTATTTGCTAAGTAAGACAAGGAGGAAGGTCTCCTCACTCCCACCCCTATCACTCAGCTCGACCCAGCCCCCAAAGAGAGAGAGGAAGAGTTCTGAAAATCCTCCATCTCCATAGCCAAGAAAGCTCAAACAAGCAAGGAGCTCAAGGGAGAAGATTATAGGAGGAGAGAGCTAGGAAGAAGTGTGAAAATTAAGGTAATAACCTTATCATAACTTTTCCTTTATTTTTTCTTCTACCATATGAGTTATATATCATATGAATAACCCCTAGGATGGTTCTACATGCCCAAAGTGTAGAACAATGGGTTGAAAGATGGTTATAAGTCCAAGAACGGACTTAGAAGCCAAGGAGACCGGCTCACCGGAAAATAACCTTTTAGAGGTTATTTGTATTGATTTGGGTTTTGTGATGATAAAACCTTGTTAGGCACTTGTAAAGGGTGATTTAAGAACTTTCACGAAGTTGAAAGAGTCGCCGTAGTTGTCACCGGAGTTCATCAAAGTTCGCCGGAGTTCCATCGGAGTTCAACCGGGAAGGGTAGAACTTCACAACGCTCATTCGAGGTGAGTGGACGGCTTAATGTCTTATAACTCTTGGGTTAAGTATGAGATTACCTAAATAAATGCTATAAGTATTCCTAATGATGTTTAAAGGAGTTTAAGCATGTGATTAGCCTAGGTAATTAGGCTTATGTGAATAAAACTTCATGATTATGCATGTGAAGAATATGAAAAATGTATAAAAACATTTGTGATGTTTTGGATGACCAAAATGGAATTTATTGGTTGTTTTAGACATGATATAGGTTGTATAAAAATTTCGGGTCAAACGGGTCACGTTTCGGGGGTCAACTCGGGGGGTCAACGAGGCGTTGACCCAAAACTCCGAACATACCCGGCGCCGGGTATAGGGCCTACCCGGGGCCGGGTAAGCTACTGCCTCCACATTTTAATCTCACCGAAAACGCGAACCGAAGTCCGGTTCGAAGGAGGGGCTGACCCCGTACAACCTATGTGTGCATATTGTGCATGGAATTGCATGGAATATGATGATTTAATGTCAAGGTTGATATTTATTGATTTAATTCTAAGACTTGGTTTAGTCTTTAGTAATAATATGATATAGACCCTATCTAGTGTGATATGTGGTAAGTCATAGGTCGGGTGGAGTACCCAAGGATCGGGCGGTTATCCTCAAAACTCGGTATATATGTATATATATAGGGTGGAGTACCCAAGGATCGGGCGGTTATCCTCAAAACTCGGTATATATGTATATATATAGGGTGGAGTACCCAAGGATCGGGCGGTTATCCTCAAAACTCGGTTATAGGGTGGAGTACCCAAGGATCGGGCGTGTATCCTCAAAACTCATAGATTACATTTAATGATCTAGGACCGGGCGGTGTCCTTATGATAATTTACTTGAACAAGGAGGAGTTCTATACACTCATAGGTATATGGGTGGGTTGGGATTTAAGTCAAGGACATTGGCTTCTATTATTTTCCCAAATAAACAATGACCTACGGGTCGGGTATTTCCAAGTGTATATATACTAATATGTATTTCAAAACTTGGGGGAAGGACTATACGTATATGTATCACCCTATGTTTGGGTCTTATACTTGAAACGTTAGTTATTCTACATTTAGCCTGCTACTCGCTCGGTACTTGTACTGACCCCTTCGGGGGGCCCCACCATTTCAGGTTGAAGCTCAAGTTGCTATTCTCACCTTGCTCGGTGAAGTGATCCAAAGGGAGACGTGGTTCGTGCTTCCTTTAATGTTTTAAACTACAAACTTGCTCATGGATATTTTTGTAATAAATACATTTGTTTTAGGCCTGCGTGCCTACGTTTTGGCCATGTGTGGCCCATGATTGAATATTGAATATTTCCGCTATTCGTTCAATCCTATGGTGTGATGTTGTTATGTATGTTTACTTACTGAGTATGGTATGGACTATGTTCATGGACGCCTTGTTTGACTAAGTCACGTTGACTCGCGGGTGACGTCATTTAGTCATACGGCGGTTGTACACGCGCTCAGATGCGGTCTGGGGCGTGACAGAACCTCCATGGCATCTCGGTTTGCCGGAGTGCTCCTAGAGTCTCCCATTTATTATTTGCTGACGATTGTTTTCTATTTTTTAAGGCAGCTGAAACTGATTGTGTGACATTTAAAAACATTATACTTACTTATGAGAAGTGGTCGGGACAGATGGAGAATTTTAATAAGTCATCGATGGCTTTCAGTCCTAATATAGGGAAGCCTTTTAAAGAATATTGTTGCCAATTATTCGGCATTGCTCGGGAAGAAGGGCGGAGCCTGTATTTGGGGCTTTCAGCGCTGGTGGGAAAGAATAAGACCGTGATACTGAGCTATTTGAGAGACCGGATTTTTAGCAGAATTAAAAGTTGGAACAACAAGTTTTTGTCCCGAGCAGGGAGGGCGGTTTTAATCAGGAATGTTGTTCAGCAATGCCAAGTTATGCGATGAATGTGTTTCTACTACCAAAAGACCTTTGTGACGACATTGAGAAGTTAATGAATGAGTTTTGGTGGAGGGGGCAAAATTCGAATAGAAAGGACTACGATGGCGACGGTGGGAGGTTTTATGCAAGACAAAGGAGGCTGGAGGACTAGGGTTTTATGCTAGCTATGCTAGCAAAGCAAGGATGGCATTTAATTTCCAAAAATCAGAGCTTGATGAGCCGAGTCCTAAAAGCCAAATATTACCCAAATTCTTCTTTTCTTGATGCTAAGGTGGGTAACAATCCTTCGTTGATTTGACATAGTATTTTTTAGACTCAAAATATACTGATAGGAAAAATTAGGTGGAGGGTGGGGAATGGAATTGATGTATAGGTATGGGCGGATGCTTGGTTACCGGGCCAAGGGTCTGGAAGAATTTCTTCTGACAAACCTCCTGGAATAAGAGATATGAATGTTGAATTTTACTGGCAAGGAATGGAATAGAGAAAGAATCCACAATTTATTCAATGAGGATGATATGAAACTCATTTTGAGTATTCCGATTAGTGTTTCGGACCGAGGGGATTCTTTTTGTTGGAGTGGAGAAAAACATGGTAATTTTTGGGTCAAGAGTTGTTATAGGAGGCTTATGGGAGATCAATTATTGGGTGCATGGGAAGGTTGGGGCTGATTATGGGATCTTCATATTCCTCCAAAGTTTAAGTATTTTGCGTGGCACGTTCTTGATGGGACTTTGCCAACAATTGAGAACTTGAGGAAGAAAGGTATAGCCATCCAAGGATACTGCAAAATTTGCGGCCTACCGGAAGCATCATTGGACCATGTAGTTCGGTCTTGTCCTGGGGTAGAGGAAATATGGTAGCGTGCGCGTGTTCAGACCGAGACCTAATCAGAATCCGCTAGGTGAGTGGCTTGAGCAGCATATCGGTCAGATGTCCGCTATGAAGAGGGGCAGATTTATTGCTATATTATGGTGCATTTGGAAGAGAAGAAACAAAGTGGTGTGGGATGATAAACAACATACGGTGGGAGGTGTGTTACGCATGGCAGACGACTGGAGTGAAGCGCAGATATCAGGCAACCAGCCTGTGTTATCCCGTTCGCAGGCTGGGAGTTCTACTACTACACGGACAGCAAGCCCGACTGGGGATAAATGGCGCAAACCGACGGTGGGTGTGGTAAAAATAAATGTGGGGGGGGAGGGGGAGGGGTGTTCGAGCTTGGGGATGGTTGCCCGAGATGAAAATGGGGACTTTATACGAGCTAAAGGTGAGTCAAACAAGGCCAAATGAACAACGGAGAAACCGAGGCATTGGGTGTTTACGACGCCATCTAGGAGGCTTTGGCAGCATGTTGGGATGAAGTTATTGTGGAGATTGATGCTTTGACTGTAGTTCAAGGACTGAAGAAACAACGTGGTTACTCATACCTTTCTTTGGTTTTAGATGACATAAATGTTTTACTTGCCTCAAAGAGTCATTTTGCTATCTCATTTTGTAAAAGGTCTGCGAATCATGTCGTTCATGCTTTAGTTAGGGAACATGTCCATTCACCAGATCAACAGATTGTTTATGAGTCAGCGCCTGATTGTATTTTTAGCCAACTGGTTAATGACTGTTGAATTAATATATTTGGCTTTGACGATAAAAAAAATTCCATAATCAGTACTCTTCAAATAGATTAATAAAACATTAGGACAATGTCTACTACATATATAAAGATTACTATTCATTTTTTATAACTCTTATTATTTTTATTATTCTGTAACTAATTTATATTATTACTATTAATTAATATATTAAAAAATATAATGAAACCGGTTTAATCTAGTTCAAACCGGAACAATCCCAAGTTGACTAATTGATATTGAGATGGATATATGTAGGAGCATATTTTAAAACTGATTGACTAAGCATAGTAGGAAAAAATTGATTATAGTGAGTTTGCATGCACATCATTTTTCTCCTATGTTTGATCTCTCAAAGTATACTCTTTTATGTTGGATCGATGATAGGTTAATGGTGTATAAAATCGTCATTGAAACACAGTTTGATTTCCTGGTGGTTCATTGCAGACAATAGCATATTACTTGGGCTATATATTGCCAATGCCTCTTAAATCCTTAATAAAGTTATCCTTATCATGTGAGGAATGAATTTGACAAGTACAAGAGCAAGGGGATTTAGAAACACTTACATTGTCATTAGATCCTTCACTTTCATCTTCGGGGATCACAGCATCACCCTTTTCTTCATCATTCTCCACAATAGCCATCAAGGCTAAGTTCTCATCTTCTTCTTCATCAGACGAATCTTCCAGCCAGTGATCCTTCTAGGTAAGCGTTGCAACATGATCATCATCTTGTTTAGCCATGACCATCTTCTGCTTGTTTCACAACATCTTCTGTTTGTAGTAGTTGAAGTCCCTCTTCTTTGGTAAGCGACAGTCCTTGATGGCATGTCCAGCTTTTCCACAATTGAAACATTTGGGAGCTTCTTCAGTTGCAACTGCTTTACCAGAGAAATTCTGATCATTGTTCCTTGATTTGTAATTGGCTGATGAGGTTCTTAGCTTGTTGGATGAATTGATCTTCTTGAAAAACTTTTTGTTGAACTAGTTGGTCAGCACGACCATCTTCTTCTGCAACTCAGCCAATTCAGATTCAACATCAACTTCTTCTTCACTTTACTCTTCTTCAGACACGACTGCTTTCTTCTTCTTCTTCTTCTTCTTCTTCTTCTTCTGACTCTTAGATGAGTTCTTTGGTTGTGCTTCCATCATGAGTGCTAGTGGAGAATGATGAAGAAAAGGAGAATGCTAGTGGAGAATCTTCGAGAAACAGGAGTTCGAAAAAATGTTTATCGAGAAGCAGTTTTTGATATGTAGTATCGAGAAGCTTGCTTATGCAGAAGTGGGTTTGAGAAGCGGGTTCGAGAAGTGGGTTCGAAAAGCGGTTTATCGAGAAGTCAGATTCGAGTAGTCAGGTTCGAGAACTTGGTTTATCGAGAAGCTGATTATCGAGAATCCGTACCGAGAACCTGCAATTCGAAAAGAAATTATCGAGATATATATATCGAAAACTAGTTATCGAGAAACAGAGTTCCAGAACTCAGTTCGAGAACTATGTTGTCGAGAACTTGGTGTCGAGATCTTACAAATTAAAAAAATTAGTTTTTAGAAAATTTTTCAGGTTTTCTGCAAAGTCCTTGATGTCGAGAACCCTCATGTATAGATTGCCTGTCAAAAAACCTTCAACAATGTCGAGAACCCTACTTTTTCGATATCAAGATATCGAGAAATCAGAATCTGAAATTTTAATGAAACTGAAACTTAAGATATACTGCTTGCTCGTTTTTTAGAGGCGATTTCAGCAGTACATCTTTTACAATGTTTCATTTAGAAATGAGATTACAACGATTAAAAATGTAAAATATCAAAAAGTAGAAAAACATAGTTCTTCGAGGTCTTCTTCGCGGATGATCAGTACTCGAGCAGGCTCTGATACCAGTTGTTGGTCCCTTGAAACTGTAGACTAACTAACAACTAGATGGAATCCATCGATAAACAGAGAAGAAAGATATCAGATAATGATAAGAGAATTATCGAGAACAGAGAAATCTTTCTTTCTATTATATCGAAAAGTTTACAGAGTGATTGCTGAGAAATGGAATGATTGACCTTAGGACATGTACCGGAACACGCATATTTATAGGCGTGGTACGAGTTCCTAAATAGGTAACCTAGGAGTTTGGGCCTAAAGCCTTTTTGGGCCTTATTCCCTTACTACCTATTTATTACATCATAATAAATACTACTAAAGGTAAACATATTCTATTTATTTGACAAGACATAAAGACAAGCTTGATTCACATTAAATATTCCTAACAGTTTAGCCTCTCCCTTTGGATTTGCTCTTCGACCATTCACGACCTTGAATTATATTGTTTGGCCCCGCCCTTCGGATTGCAAAAACTTCATCTTCCGGATTTAAGGCTGACGACCTTGAATTGTTTGGCCCCGCCTTTCGGATTTGCTCTTCGACCATTCGCGATCTTGGATTGTCATCCCCGCCCTTCGGATTGCATAACTTCATCTTCAGGATTTAAGGCTGACGACCTTGAATTGTTTGGCCCCGACCTTCGGATTTCATAGTTGTTGTCATTTGAAATACTGACACTTGGCATATCAAGAAGTGGGACGCGTGAAGTTCTTGTTGACGCGAAGTGGAAATGAAGCTGTTCAAAAGGTATTTCTTCAAAGAACTGCTATGCATGATCGTCGTAGGGGGACTGACCAGGTCCCCCTGAAGTGTAAGTGAAGCAGTCTTCTTCCAGTTCCGCCGCCCACGCCCTCCTCCTGTTCTGGCGTCCCATTTTCCAAAAGTATTCCGGTTCTGGACTACGGAGATATCACGGTATAGTTTTATTTATTGCGCAATCTA